TACCATTCCAAATGATGAATTGATTCTGTTATCATTAATTCTGTTATCATTATTATCATTAATTCTGTTATCACTGATTTGTTATTGTTGTTATTATTAATTTTGATTTCATTTCTTCCAACTTTTCACCAATTTTGCAGAGATATGATCGTATGCTCCAAAAAAAGAAGAATCACATAGCATGTATACATCCCCCCTCCCCCCTTTCACTTTAAAACATTTAGGAGGCGGGCTTCGACCCTGCCTGTCAGGGCCAATCAGGGCTGGGAAGGATACAACTTTCCAAAGGAATACCAAGACACTCATAAAATGGCACTTAAATGACCAAAATTGAGTCGATAGTGCCGTAAAACACCTACTCAATCAAACACTCCTAAAGATTCGCGTCTCTTGCGTGCGACAGCGAAGCACATAACCGTGTCACCACAGACGCCCCTACAACATGTTCATTCTTTTTTTACAAAACAAAACAGCAACAACAAAAAGAACCATTTTCTAAACAACATAATTATTGAGCCCCCCGCCCCCGTCCCATTTGTTAATATGCAACGCCGCGAGTCTTATTATTATATGATAATACAGCTTCCTCGTTTGGTGTACATGTACATTTTTACTATAAATTAATAATATGATTATTTTGTACATTGTACTTTGTTCCACCAACGATGTCGATATGGTTCTAAACTTGATTACACCCCGTATTTTGTACGTTTTAAACCCTTTACTATGCTCAGACACTATACACCTCATAGTACATTCACGCTGAGTAAATCTATATCGAAGGAAGAATTCAGGTTTGTTGACATTTAATTTTCCTGCCCTAAGTCTCCTGGAGTTTCCCTTGCTCGAATGTAATTATGTAATACATGTGTATTTTGATTTTAATTCCCGTCTTACATTTATACAACCAGCATGGTATTCCAATCGATAAATCCACACAGTGCAATAGGGAAGTTTTTAAGGAGGTAATTTCTTTTCACCTTTTTAAAGATAACTACCGTAAAGTAATTTAAGAAAAACTGAAACAAGAGCACATAATACATTTCAATTTTACTTGCTGTGTCGCCATTATCACTCTTTACGGACGTCGTTTCCGTATTCCCTTATCGATTACCCTGTGCGCCCAAAGCCATTCCCCCGTACCCCGGTAACATTCAAAAGTGCATCGTTTTCTTTTCACTAGCATGCTCACACCTTGTAGAGCATAATTTCTGCTCTCTAAAGAACATACTACAAGTTACAGGTAGCCTATTTGAAATAACGGCTTTATGTCACCAGACCTACGTGATTCTCAGCAGACCTTACAAAACACTCTTTTGTTGTCTTTTGCAAATGAAGCGTACGCTCTTCAAACCAATAATTATTTAGGTCATCACGAGGAATAAAGATTTCAAACATGTATGTGGACGTCTCATTTTTAATTTAAATCGTAACCCACAAAACATTGTTGTTTTTTTAAGTAAAGAAAATAAAAATGTCTCTTCCCCCCCTTTCTCTAAACTAACAAGCACAATTTTCTAATCCTTTTGACATTTATTAAAGATCGGATTTAAACATGGAAAAGGCTTAATGTTGGAGGGGTACCAACAGCTGTATCATTGGACCTAATACTAATAGTTCCCTAGATCTATGTCTCTTGAACCGAGGGGTCGTGGACTAACATTCACACTCACACGCATATATAACAGATTGACATTGTTATAAAATACACTCACTGCACTAAGGAACAAGACACATACACTTACACTTACAGTACTACAGTTTGTTTTATACAACTTTTATTATGTTCGTTCTTCAACAAAATTATCTGGGTTGTTTGTTTTGTTTGTTGTTGTTTGTTTTTTTGTTGTTTTTTTTAAATTTACATCATGTTGAAGATCATTTCATGAGAAAGTGTGCTGAATGATTATAATTATAATAATTAATATGTGCACTCGTAAAGTATCAGTGACCCGAGGAGGAGGGATCAGCAGGAATCATTGTTTTCCATCTCCGTTAATTGATCACTCCAGTGCGTACAATAATTGTTTCCCTGAATGTTTCTTGGTTTTATTTTTTCTTTTGTTAAAATTATTCGACTTGTTCAAGTTTGATCAATAATACATGTAATATAATATTATCGCAATTTTGTTACCTACTTTCATTTTGTATGACGAGGTTTGAGAACATCTCCTGGCTTTCAAATTTCAGGGGGAAATAAAAACTTATGCAGTATCTCAAGACTACGCAGTTCGTGTGTTGTTTTCTGGGGGGGGGGGCTTGGAATGTATGATGGCAGGCTTTATTGCTCAACACAGCCCGGCTCTATTGTTCCCCGAGACAGAAATGCGGTTGTTGTTGTTGTTTTGGGGTATTTTTTGCTTGCTTGTTTGTTGTTTTTCATTGTTGTTGGTTTTTTGGGGGTTTTTGTTTGTTTGTTGTTGTTTTTTTGGGGGGGTAAGTGTTTTACGGCGCTCTCAGCTGCATAAGATCATGAGCGCGCGGTACAGCCGAAACATTTTCATTTCGTAGAAAATTTTGAGAGCCTACAACACCAAGCACTCAGGCTATAAAGGAAGAGGAAGGCCACGCAAAAGGTGGATCGAGGGTGTCGAGGAAACACTAAGAAAACATAACATCACAACTGAAAGAGCTGCAGAGCTGGCGTAGCATAGCGGCAACAGAGGATGAAAAAATAAAAATAGAGCAGGAAATTTTGAATTTTGCCCGGGTGGTGGCCGAGGCGTACTCTTATCGATTTTGGACCACCAGGGGATCTTTAAGATTAACGTGCACAACTTGCACACGGGACCTCCGAGACGTTTCACCCTTGTCCGAGAAGGCTAGGTGTTGATCTTTCCTACCATAAGATGTCTGAAAGACAGTAGTAAGAAATAGCCAAGGAGTTCCGAGTAGCAGGAGAAATGCTGCGGAAAGAGTCAGGAGCTCAGAGGAGGGGGCAAATGAGGTAAGGGGGTGGGGGGAGGGGCAGAAAGTGGAGACAAAAGCATACGAGAGAACCTTGTTAGAGAGAAGAGGAAGTGAAAGTAGAAAATTTTAGAGAAGAAAATTTTCCGTCGCTATCCAGATTCAAACCCGGGACCTTTGAATGGAAGTCACTTTACGTTAATTTCCTATTTGTCTCGGGTCCTTTCGGGGATGGACGTTAAACTCGTACATCCCGCCTCTTAAATTTAAACTTAATAGTGTTGACAGGGGCGTTAATAAACCTATAATGTACCATTTCACCATAATTTTCACTGGAATAATAATGGTCTCTGGTTGGTCACAAGGGACGCAACAAAGAAAAGTATGCTTGACGTCGCTGATTTTCCCGTTGTTGACATCCTGATATCGCTGGTTCTTCCACTGCGAGCTATATTATTTTCGAACCCACACAGAGAATGGCAGCATTGTGACTTTGACTTTGATGGAAATATAATACCCAAGCTGAGAGGGATACAACATCCAAGCAGACAGACTGAGATCGTCATCGTCATCACCCAGTGCCAGATCTGCGACAGACATCGGCGATAAGGGTTCTCCATTCATTCATTCCTTTGCTCGGATGCTCTCAAAAAAGCTACGTTCCCTAATCTTTCCCAGTCACCCATTTGTTTAGGTTCCATAAGTAGGTTGTTCTGGGCCTACCCCTGCCTCGTTTGCCTTCAGTTTTGCCAGTGAGAGCTAGATGTTCAAGACCCTTATGTCTATTCAGGTGTCCCAAAAACTGCATTTGTCGTTTCCTGATTGTTTTCAACATTGAGCGTCCCACGCGGGCTTCAGCAAGCACTAGATCTACCTCACTTGATTTCTTTTCAGACTGAGATACTCATTAAAATTAAAAGATTTTCTCCCCAGTCGGGAATAGAACTCGGATCTCCTGCGTGGAACGGTGAAGCACCTGACCACTACCCAACAGACGCCGGAGATTTATAGAATAGGAATTGCATTATAACTTCTCCCATTGGGCTCGGTTCTTGTGTGTGTGTGTGTGTGTGTGTGTGTGTGTGTGTGTGTGTGTGTGTGTGTATGTGTGTGTGTGTGTGTGTGTGTGTGTGTGTGTGTGTGTGTGTGTAAACCTATTTCTATTGGAATTGCATTGACTCTCTTCACTCCATTGTGTTTTTGTTTTAGTTTTAGTAAGAGTTTTACGGCGCTCGCAACTGCATAAAGTATAAAGTCACATGAGCGCGCGAAAAAAAAAAATGGTTCTGTTTGCAACAGTTCACTGACTGCACAGCCTGATTCTGGTCAACATCTCTACATGTACTAAAATCCTTAAAATTTGATGTAAATAAACTAATTTAAAACAACTTTTTAAATAAAATTAAAATGTTTTAACAATCTCATTCACAACTTCCCATGAAGGCCAATGGCCTTTATAAAATCCAGAATTCTGTTGGGATCGACCACGAAAAACAAATCTTGCAATTTTTTGCATTTAAAATACACATGTATTTCATTCCGGTCCCTCCGAAGTCTAGACATTCTGTTATATAATATGTTGTTGTTGTTATGTTGTTGTTAGCGATCCAGTAGCATCTGAGAATTAACTCTTCTGCAAGATGTCATTCTGTAATACATGTAGCTGCAATTCTGTTTTAATTGTTGCCTTGAGGAGTAGAGGCAGTTAGTTGAGTTAGTAGATGTGTGGGGCCTCAAATCGGTTAGTTTTCTACAGAAGAACAGATGATGTTCCACTGTCTCTGAGTCTGAGGGGTAGCACGTAGTGGGCAGGCAGTAGTAGACTGCTTTACTCCAATTCGGTTGAGATGTTGATTGAGGGGTACATGTTGTGTTCTAAGTTGGAAGATTATGGATTGATCTCCCCTCCTCAACTCATTGATTGGATCTTTAACGTGTGGTTTATTTAAGTGGCCATACATCATTCCTCCTGTCATACCTGTGGCCCATGCGTTCATCCAGTCTTCCTCGAGGTTTGACTTGATCATTTGGCAGCAGGTGGTGTAATCAGTAGGAATATCAGGCTGAGGGAGGCTGGTTCCTTTCTTTGCTAGAGCATCAGCTCTTTTATTTCCCGGTATCCCAGAGTGAGCCGGAATCCATTAATTGAAGGACTACTCTGATATGGTGCCTACTTATCAAATTATGAAGACTCCAAATCAAGTGTGATATAATATCTTTGTTCATATCAGTCTCACTCTCAAGTGTCTCTAGTGTTGAAAGGCAGTCTGTAACGATAACAATGTCTGTGGTAGCAAGTGGGTTAGTGTCAAACAAGTAGTTGATGTAGTTTGCTGTGTTGGTGATAGCCTGTTGTTCGGCAATGGAATTGGAGCAGAAGGACCCACTGGAATTAAAGACTTCCTTTTTTATTTATCCCATTGGGCAAGTTGATCACAGACCCATATCCAGCGTTGATTGTTGCCTTAAAGGCAGATCCATCAGACAATTAGTGTATGAATGTTAAAATGTGTCTAATGGTAAAATCTGTGTCACATCCGACACAGAACAGCTTCTCATCTCCCTGAAGGAGGTATTGTATTTATGTGTGACGGACGTGCGTCCGATGCGTAATCGAGTAAAAATGATTTCGTCTCTTCTGGAGAGGCCGAAGGATTTCGCGGTCCCAGTTTGGGCTTAATGTTGTGTAGTTTGTTGTGTACTTGCTTTTTCCAATGAGTCTCCCACAGACTGGAGGTGTATTACATACGATATTGAAGGGGGAAATTTTTAGTAGAGGTTTTACAGCGCTCGCAACTGCATAAAGTCATATGAGCGCCAGAAGATAGGCTTTACGAGAGAGTAACAAACATGAAAAACAAGGAGGAGAGATAAGGACGATAGGTGTCTGATAGGAAAGAAGGAGCAAACCACACCATAGCACCAGACAATCACCCACGAAGGAGGAAAAATCACCCTGAACAAACAACAAAATACAACGTGTAATAGAAATACATGTACAAATTTATTTTCTTTGTTGCATGGCAAAAAATATCAGAGCACCAAGGGCAAGCAAAAACAACGACATTTTTTTTTCGTTTTCACAAAGAAAAATCCTTTCAATATATCACACTACAAACAACTTATGCAACAAAAAAGGAAACTGTCAACGCTGCCCATCCAAACAAATAATTTAACGACAAAATCGCTCAATGAAGTACAGAAAATGAAATAGACATAATAATATTATGCTTAAAATGCCTCCCACAGCATTCAAGTTATCACAAAGATTAAGATATGTCCTGCATGCGTTCCTGAGCTTAATTAATTTCACAAATACGTTCATTCAATTCACACACATCAAAATCCAAAAACACACACACACACACACACACAATCACTATCTTTTACAAACTGTACAACATGGAATGAAAGACAATAAATTGAAATTAGGGTGCTTACAATGCAGTGTAATCTTCTGAAGGCTCACTTCTTCCCAGTCTTTAGTCTAGTTTTAGTAAGAGTTTTACTGCTCTTTCAGCACAATTAGGTCATATAAGTGCCGAAGATTAGGGATGTTACTAGAGAGTAACTTACAGAGAAAAGGGGGAGAGATAGTGCAAAAGGTCCTTTGCTACTGCTGGACTCGCTGTCGGCATGGGGCATTCGGTCCTCAGGCGATTTTGCGAGGTGATAGCGCTGCTGTATCCCTCTCTCAAGACCCACTAGGCTATACAGAAGGAGGTGCACAAGTTCGCTCTGCAGACAGAGCCTTCAAAGTAATCTCACAAGAGCACGAGACATCTTGAAGCAGCTATACCAGAAAACTGAAGGCTTCTACCATGGCTGTCACACTAGATGATAAAAAGATGGAGCACTACAAAAAGGATCTGTTAGGTAATGAGGATTGTTCTATTCATTTTCTTTTTTGCAATGCGCATTTCTTATTAGGTCTTGTACAATCCAGAAGTGATGCCATGTCTTCGACTGAACAGGATACTGGTAAAATGGGAAGAGATATAGATACAGCCTTTGCAAGATACTTTGACGCTAGAGAATGTTCTGTCTTCCGCTTAATAAGAACTGCTGCGGAGGTGCTTGGTCCTCGTGGCGATGAGAAAAATGGTTGTCGCCAGGAGTGGCTCGCTTTTTGTGGAATGAATGGAAAGTCTTCAAAATTTACTAGTTACAGGGGAAACCGATTCAATTGCCTTTTTGAAAATGCATCAGCTGTCATGGAACACCGTTCAGAAATGGTTACATTTCTAAATGACTACAACCACATGGAGCAACCAATCAACTTAAAACTCAAAAGTGTTTCTGCAGATTTGCAAGACAATAAGTTAATTTCGTGCGTTGCTTCTGTTGCTTTATTTCATGTGCTTTTTACTGGTCCATATTGGAAGTTGGTCAATAGTCAAAAGTCTTATGGGGAGTTTCCTTCATATGTCTCTGAAATGAAAAAAGCCCTTAAGGATTGGGACTCGCGGGAGATGGATATATGTAAGCTGGCCTATGAAAATCAGTCGCTTGGTGATTCGGTTCATTTTGAGTTAATCCGCTATAAAGGTCAAAATGCGTCATTTGATGAAAAATGAGTTCTTGATTGGAACTTCTAGTTTAACCATTTTTATAACATTTTCAAGACTTGTTGGCGTTAAATAACGCCCAAAAGTATTTTAAAATGATTTTTTTAAAGACATGGGTGTTCACAATCACTCACAATTATGTGAACTATTTGCGTAATTTTCTTGTTACTTTGGGACTTCTTTAAACCCATAAGGAGACCAGGAAACACCCCCAAATTTCATACCATTTTAAAGGTCTCTCAAAGGGGTTTCCTCTGGAATTTCGTGCACATTAATACAAGGAACACTGACCTGACTAAACAATCTGCGCATCAGGACCCTGTTATGAAAGCCAATACAAGCAAGTCGTTGTTCACTTGTGCTACTTTTTTTGCTTTTATCTTTTATTCGTGCGGTTCCACTGCCGTGAAATGTGGTGAAAATTAAAGGATACTGTTTATTTGTGTCATTTCAACAGTTGAAATCTAAATTTCGAGGCTGGTCTAGTGTATTTTTTACTTTTTGCTGGACACAGTCCAGTTTTGTTTACATTACCAACCGCTTTCAAAATGGCTGCCAGCAGAGCGAAAGAGAAAGAAATCGCAGACATATTGAACAACCTCGGACCGATGAACTTGTCTCTCGTTGCCCTAAATAGAGATTTAATCAGCATTGTTGAGGATTATTTTATTTCTAAAGATATTGACAGTGATATTGAAGGCTCAGAGAGTGAAGGAGAAGAGGTCAGTTTGCCACTACCCCTGCCGCCACGCCCACCTTCGTCTACTACAAGATCTAACTACTCCTACTACTTAATACGAGTAGGGAGGAAATTCCAACTCCTCATTCCCCTGGTGAGTTGTAACCCAAAGTCAACTAAATTCTCGTATCTTCCTCAAGCTTTTAGGAATAATATGCAATTGCTGACTTTTTGAATGGGGGAATTTATGGAGGCGTACTTGATGATGATGTACAAAACTTACTTAATACATGTCCCTTAACTAATTTAAGGTCACCCACGGGGGATCGCATCTTTCCAAAATACTCATTCGATGAAAAAATATCGTTTTTCGGATTTTCGGCGAACCTTCTAGAAAAATATATGAAGAAACCATTTCCAATGGTTTGAAAGCCCAAAAACGTACCAAAAGCATGGAAAAACGGTGAGAAAGAAGGTAGGGTGATCAGAATTATTATGAAAATCCTGAAATTTACGCAACTTTGAAACTTAGCAACGCATATACATGGTCCTCGAAAGCCCTTGAGTGCGGTATCGTTGGAAAGCTTGGAATCTCCCCCTTGTAATCGTGTCTCTTTCATTCATGTCCTATAATCCGTGGGAAACCCCTGCGAGAAGAAAGACGGACCCTATAACAAAAATACTGAAAGGTGATTGGCCAGCAACAGCAATCACGCATTGATGGCAGTACGATCACGTGAAAAGTCGACTCTCATTGGCTGAGACGTTGACAACCGAGGGGGTTTCCGGCCCATGACGCATCACGCGTAAACAATAGCGTCCATTGTTCTTTGTCCGTGTCGAACGAGAATGCTGTGTTTACAACTGACTTCTCACGACTTGACGGCTTTTCCCATCTCGCAAAAAAGAAATCTAACAACTGAAAGGTAAGTACTAATTTTTATAGTGATGTTTTGATTATTTTTTACTTTGTATATCAATAGAAGTGTATAAATGGCTGGCGAACACACCAGTCACTGGCATCCTGTGACTGTGTTGACCAGTGTTGTTGCGATGTGTGCAGTGCACTTTCACTATGGACCGTTTGAAGGACAACTTGATGGCTTTCAAGAGATGATACATATGAAATCTAGCTCAGTGTCATAAGTTGCTCAGTCTATCATGGCTATGCAACGTTGTTTGCAATAGTGGAACTAGTGTAGAGGAGTTACTTCGATCTACTGTGTGGATTCTTGGTCTTGTACTGGATTCAACACCAGGCGTGCTGCGCGTTGTGTTTCTAGACAGGCTTATCGTGTATAGATCTAGATCTAGACATTGATTCTCGTTGCCAGTGGTACTGTTATTATCATTATTATTGATTGTGAATTGAAATAATACTCTGCTCAGGAGCATTTTTTGTAGAATTGTTGGGGGGGTAGTACTAGTCTAGTAGATCTAGTCTTACACTGTTTGGATGACCCACCAGCAGCTGCTTCTGCTTCAAAGCGTAAGCTGGCTTATAACCCAGAACTCCCGGACAACAACTCGACTCAGAGCTCGCAGAAGTTGCCAACGACTATCGTGAACCTTGACTCTCTTCAAACCCTGTTCGAAGATCTTCTGTGTCCTCGTTGTCTCCAACCGTCCCTTTCTCTTGGCAGTGACAGTGGTAAAAATTCTGGTCTTGCAGTACATTTGCGAGTCCAATGTGCTGCCTGTGATGCAGACATTTCTTCAGGGTTCACTTCCAAGACAAGCGATGATGACAGCCGCACCTTCAGAATCAACAGATTGGCCGTAGCTAGTGCGTCAGCTAC